GGGGGGGGGGGGGGGGGGGGGTTGAATCGAGCAATCAATTATTAGACCCGGACTCGCCGACACTTGCTTCGCAGGACAAACTCAAGGTATCCCCTAAAGGGCTACCTTTCGTGAACAGTCAAGGAAACTCCCATTCATCCCCATGAAAAATCATCCTACTCACATTCAGAACCCACAGTGTGATCCACTGGCATGGCAAAACGTCATCTGGCTCAAGTCTCGTGTAGTGATGAATCTGGGCGCGAAGCCGCTCACACAATAAGCATCGTAACCTCAATCGAACGGGAACCGGTGGTTCTATGCAGCATTTCGATGCATTTCGGTCTTCCTGTAACCTACAAGCAGCATCCGGACATCCTTCGTTTTGGGGGAAAAGTACAGTACCCTACCGCTGGATCTTGCTGGGTAATGCGTTCCAGGATTTGACCAGCTGTACGTCCCACTCCAGTGATGATCACCCATGATCCAACTCCATGAGGCAACATCGGTCTCTGCCAAAAGGAGCGAAGCCATCAACCACTGTTGTGCTTCATGGCCCTTGCGAGTACAAAAGTTGCACAGCCAACCCGCGGTGAGACCAATCCATGAAAGGTTGTTGAAAGAGTGTTATGTGTTTCAACCATCCAAAAACAGAAAAACACAATAAATTAAACCTGCCCCCACAACAAATTAAAAGGCGGGAGAAAAACACATTGCCTTCCAAAACGAACGCACACCAAACGGCACCCGGACATAGCCAAGCGACCAACTCCGATGAGTAAAGAGGCCAAAGCAATGGAGAGGTCGAAGCAATCTCCTGCCTGGGGAAGATCATTTGGAGCAATCAAATGTGTTGGTTGAGTCCTTGGAGTGTCGTCCTCCCCACAAGGCTCTGAGCTGTGGCTTTGCCATAGAACGCAACGATCAACTTTCAGAACTTCCCCATCTTCCCTGTGATACAGCTCCCCGTGGCCATTGTTCAATCAGGTCAAATCATGTCAAATCTTCCTTCGACCAAATCCATGGTGGGATCTGCCAATCAGTATTGAAGCAAGTGCTGGGCCTGCCAGGTGAGCACTGAAGCAGGTGCAGGGATCACACTGGGATATCGATCAGGAGGAGCAAGCTCATCCTGAAAGCACGGAGGGGAGCGAGTACTGGCTGCGGAATCTTGTGTGGAAGTGTCCTTCGACTTCTATTCTACCTATCAGTATGCTCACTGACTGCAGGCTATGTAAGCGTTTGAATGCACTCATTAAGTCCTGGAAAGAAACAACAAACATATCCAAGACCACCCAAATCTATCCAAATCACCCCCCCCACAAAACATCGCAGCACAAATGGCTATATACTCCCAAATCACCATGGGCAACCAACCCCCCTCTCACAAGCCTCTCTCATTGAATCATCGTCTTTCTGAGCGCCGCATCTGGTGGCGCATTTGGTTCCAAAACCAGCTGATCTGAAGCAATATACACATTCCTGGCCTTGAGCCATGCCATGCTACACAATATATCATTAATATATATATATATAAATGGAACTCAAGAACTATCAGCTTTCCAGACTGCGGAGGTCAACGAGTCGGGTGACGTAGTTGAAGAAGTCCGCCAAGAATTTGGCACAGGACTTGTACTCGTAGAGCTCTTGGTAGGGTAGGTGCCTTGGTCGGTGCTGAGAGTACTTGGATTTGGTGCACGAATTCTGGATGCGCAATCAGGAAACAGGATGACCTTTTGGACTACGAGGGCATCAGCAAGAGCAAGTGCAGCCGATGACTGATCACTTGTTGCCTACAGTTGATTGCATGCATGGTGCCTGCGGCCTGAGGAGGACGTCTACAGCAGTCGTTCAATAAAGAAACGACTCGACTCGACATGAATTCAAACGCTCTGCAATGCAAGGCTCCTGGGTGATTTATAGCATCTGAGTGTGAAGACTTCCGGTCGAATCAGTGCACCAAGGCTGAAACCAAACCATCGACTGGAAGGCGAGTGGGTTTTGCAACCGGATCCCAAGTTCGGCACCAGCGCCATGTGCAGCCCAGGCACGTGGGTCGGATAGTGGAAGGAAGGAACTTGGGAATTCCATACCTCCGTGCAGCGAACCGTGCGAGACAACAGCGCTTGAGGTGCATAGTTACTAAGCAGCTTATTGTAGAAAGAGATTTCCCAAAAAGGAATCTCCTCGAAAGGGACCAAAGCACTTCCGGAAAAATAGAGTATATTTGAGTATACATGGGTATACTAAGATAGTAGATATTTTTTGAGACGAAGGGTCACACCGGCTCTGAAGAGATCACACCGGCTCTGAAGAGAGGACAGGTGCTCTGTCCTTCGTGACGCTTGCCTCCAACCCGGCGCCCCGCCCGTGACCCATCTAGTTCGTTCTGCGTGTTTTTGAGGTATTGATTCATTGATGACCATACCGGCACTCTGAAAAATCCATGCAATCGATTTCGAAATGGATTCCTTTTCACGGTTCCTTCTTTGCTGTCACAATCCAGAGGGATCTAATTGGATCCATGTCACACAACCCTTTGGTCATGTCTTCGCCCAGCCGAGGGCCCGGAATCCTGAAACCGCTCGAAAAATGGACGCCCATTGCCAAGGGGCTCATTGGGCGGACAAAGGAACAAGAAGCGATTTCCATAGACATTCACAAACTGATCCTCAAATTCGCGCACCTGCCAGGGAGCTCGGCCCTGCATCGCACTGCCGGTGGGTGTTGAAGGTCCGCACAGTGGGATACACTGGTTTGGCCAGCGGGGTGCTTAATGAAGGCTAGCAAAAACATGTACAGTAAATAAGGAGCAGTATAGTCAACAAGATCCTTAAGTGTAAAACATGTGTAATCATCGTGTGCAATCAATATGATATAGAGGCAAACAAAAACCGGGACAAAGACCTGTGGTGTCTTAAGCAATTGCAGGGTGTACCCTTCTTTGATGTGCATCCCGGAGCCGCCAATATACTTTGAAATGGTGAAATAACTCAATGCACCAGCATAGACCATTCAACATATCAATTCCACCACTCGATATTGACCAAAACATGTGCTAGAACATGTCCAAAAAGCATGTTCAAAGACCGATATACGTATATAATCGTATATACATATTTTGGTCGATCTATACATCTATTTCTGGAGATCCACCTCTGACGAACAAGGCCTACTCACCCTACCGGGAGACAGGAGTAGGCTGGCCTACCGGGAGACTTCTCCATCCCCCGTTCCAAGCAAAGAGTTAAACATCAGTAAGAGCCTGGGCCTGGATCTACAAGTAGCAAGGGCCTGGAACATTTGGCTTTTAGCTTTATCTGAAAAAATGAGTGTTTTGCGATGTTTTGGTGTCTCCTGAGTGTTTGGAGTGATCACGAAGAGTCAAAGTTCGTAGGCCGTAGGCCATCATCCTCTAGGGGCAAAAGAAATACAAACACAAATCACTGAAGGATATTCACACACATATATATATATATTGTATATGTATGCCATGATATGCCCTTCATGACTAATTCGTGAATATGTGTTTCCTTATGAAACGTCCAAAGAACTTCTGAACGAGCCCAAGAGCAACCGGACCAGGGTGGAGTTGAAGCCGGGTCCGGACTTGTTTTTTTAGGACGGAAGCCGACGGACTCCAAATCGGGCAGCTTGGGCTTTTGTGACATGGATGCCCCCCAACTTGAAGCCAAAGTGGCGTGTTCTAGTAGCAGCTCCTCCTTTGGAGTGTTTCCCACCTTAGGTCACAGCCACTCCAGTCAACCATATTCCAAACGCACCGATCTGAACATCTCCGTCTACAACTTCAAGAGAGTCAAAAGCGTGACAACTTCAAGAGCCCAGAGCCGAACCAGCTAGTTACTTGTATGAAGCTAGCTCTATCAGCTAGTATCTTGATAGTCTTAGTATCGTTCTGGCATGTTCTGATCACATTTTAAGCCAACCCCACAAACCCCCGCAATTCTCAAACAACTATGGATGGACGACTTTGACTCGTCACATAACTCGTCTCAGCTCATATGAACTCACCTTCACTTGCACTCGCGGAAATCGAGGGCTTCTTTCTATCCAAGAAGCGTATCGTGCACTCGGATTCTGGTTTTCTGCCACTAGTCGGCTGCATCGGATCTCTTTCTGCGTCGGCTGCTCCCTTGAGGTCTGAGTAGTATTGTCCTGTCGCACTTCCACATCCAACTGGAAAACCGGTGGCCGGTCTTGAATCAAGGGAACCCTTTCCCGGTGCCAACGTGCCCACCAGTACCGGGGTCAAGGCTGTCACCGGCACGTCTCGTCTGTGCCTGTCTTGATATGTACCAACAAATGCTTGATAAGTTCCCGAAGAACAAAACACAAGAACATGGTGAACAAACTTCAAAGCAACCCACAATGATTCAATGATTGCATATGATTGGCAAAGTCGCCGACATGCTGCTGGAACCAGTGAACCATAGTGAACCAAGTTCGATTGACACTCATAAGCTGAGCATCTCCGGTGAAAGGCTGACGGAAACGGTCACATCTTCATTTAATGCCACCATGCGCAAACATTATTGAAAATTGCTCTACAAAAAACATGGTCTAGGTTGTGACCAGTAGTGCGCATACTCCCCTGCAGATCAACATGGAACCCAAAACCACTCACTGGGTTGTAAAGCTAAGTTGTCTTCCACCGGTCAATTCTCAGGTTCCATTTAGTTTGCCGGGGGGGGGGGGAAGCAAAAACCCCTCATGACTCTGTTCCCAACAACCACAGGAAAACCACAGCGAAACGGCAGGAAAACCAGAGGGATAGCACCAAAGGAAAGCCAAACGGAAGCCAAGGAAAAACAAAAGGAAACTGAAGGGAAACCAAAAGGAAACCGAAGGGAAACCAAAGGGAAGCTGAAGGGAAACCAAAGGGAGAGTGAAAGGAAATCAAAGGGAAGCTGAAGGGAAACCAAGGGGATACCTCTGAAGGGAATTCAAAGGCAAACCGAACGGAAACCAAAAGGAAGCTGAAGGGAATGCAAAGGGACACCACCCAAGGGAAACCAAAGCGAAGGTGAAGGGAGACCAAAGAGAGTCAAATGATCAGCGCGAGTGCTTCTTCAAGGAAGCTCCCCCTCGCCCTCAGGTGGGGAAAGCTTCCTTGAAGAAGCGTGAGCTATCCGGCGTCCTACCGCTTTTCCAGCAGCCTACCCAGCTGAACACCTCCCTTCCCCCGTGGCTTAACAAAAAAACAAAAAGAAGCTGAAGGGAAATCACGGGAAACACTCCCAAAGGAACGGAAAAAAAAAAAACCTCCCCAAAGGGAAGCAATGAAGCAACACTAGTAACAAAAAACTACTAGGAGCTCCTGGCGGTACTAGTAGGAGCATGCTTACTAGTAACAAGAAGCTACGAACGGGGCTCCTGGCATCGCTACGAACGGAGCGATCGGACGCTACGAGGGCCGGGGCTCCTGGCCGTACTGCTAGGAGCGATCGGACGCGACTCGAACGGAGCAATGAAGCAACACGACCACACGACCCCCACATCGACCCAGGAGGGTCCTCAGGAGGGGCCGCCGCTGGTAGGGTCACATCCATGGGGCGCGGAGCGCGGTGAGATCCGCGGTCCGCACGGCGCTGGGACCGCTGGTCCGCTTGAGCCGGTGCCGCTGGGAGGGCACGGACCCACTTCATGCAGTTAAGGGCAATGACTCTGTAGTCTAGAGTCTATATATGTCACGATATGTTCTATTTACATGAGTCAAAAAAAGGATCAAACAGGAAATTACGTAGATTGAAAGCTGTTGACCGAATTGTTGGACTTCGACAATTCATTGTAATATTGGTGGTTGACAACGATGGTCTGGGAAAAATGAACTTTTCATCTAAGAAAGAACACAAAAGAGCAAGGCAGCGACCTCGACCTATCAGAGTAGCGTTGGGGCCCCCCAAAAAACATCCGCATAGTCATCCTGATATATCCTGATTCACATGCATAGTGTGCTGAACGCATGGAATCACAATCCTTATGGCAATGTCCAATGATCATGTCTCGCTCCTGCTCAACTGTCTAAGAAAACAACTGCAAGGCAGTCTTGAAATTTGTTGCACCTGCTGTCAGCGCATGGTGCCGTTTTCAGGTGTCCAATGGAGATCTGAGTGCAAATTTGAGATGCAAAGTGGGGGACAGGGCTAACTGCTGCAAATGTATCCCCCTGTGAGTTAGCCAGGATAGGTTGTGCTAAGCATTCTGCAGCTGTAACAGACACAAAGAGTTGACCTCCAAATGCCTACAGAATCACAGGGGGTATAGTGGGATCTTGGGGACCCCAGAAAACAAACTGGAGCGACTGGGGCGACTGGAAACCTGATGCATTTTCAATACCAGCACTTTTGCTACACATCTATTACATTCTATTACAGCCAAACACCTATTACAGCTGGTGCATCCTGCCAAAAAACACCTGCAGTTCTGGGCCGACAAGGAAATTCCGGGGCAAACGAGCCAGCAAAACGTGACGTCCATTGAACGAGACGTGCTCCAGACCACAACTTATAACACAAACACTGAGAAACACATCGTTTTAAATGTATTTAAAGTGATGTGTTGCCCAGAATTCTGCTTGCCAGCATGCGGGACGCATCTTCTTCGTCAAATTGGATCCCGTCACAGCACATTACCCACCAGAAAGAAGTACGATGAGGATCTATGAGGCTCCTGTGTGTAACAACTTTGGGTTCGGAAGCTCTCTCACTCAAAAAATGACAATTCCGATCCCCATGGGTTCGGAGATCTCTCAGTCTTTTCGCTACTCAAGAGTTCGCAAGACGAGGTTGAAGGAAACCAGGCTCTGTGGTCTGGTAGATTGCTTCAAAGGTGGTGGTCTTCGCATGGTGCGGTCCTCAGGTCACAAGAAGAGGCGGGGGCCAACGGACAACGGACCGTCCGTCGCCGTGTCGTCTTGCTTGACCAGTTATGTCTTGTCTTTCTGCACCAAATGGCTTTGATGGCCCAAGCAGTTTTGAGTTGTGGAGTAGTAGAATTACAGTACATTATTATTTACTAATGTAGTAGAATTACTGTAATTAACGTTATTAATACAGTACATTATTACTTGTGAATTGTGAATCGCAACGTTAGATCTGCCCCACCCTGCCCCACCGTAAAAAAAAAGGAGTCTGGATGCCCTCCCCTTTCCCGGAAACAACCCAAAACAATGTGATACCATGGGATAAAATGAGATGAAACGCAAAGTTCGACTTAAAGAAAAACACAGGCTTCCTGGCACTTTCGCTCTGTAGCATTCAATCGAGCAGCTTCGAGCAAAAAGCCTGGCACCGTCTCGAATGCCTGGTCACTCAACTTTCAGACGGGGGTAGTGTCAATGACACTTGCTTCGGGGGAGCCTACAAGAAAAACATCAAACAAATGGTTGGATGGTTCAACATACCCTCTGACATCCTCTGACATAGCAAGCCTAATACCTCAACAAAGCACTTGCACACCCACTGTAGTGATGTATGGTGTTCAGTCACCTCAGCAAGCTCGGCCACATCCCTTTCTTACGAGCAACCAATGTTTAAGCTCTGTGGCAAGACAAGAGCATGATGTAAATCAAGCAAACATCAGAAATGAATGCTCAGGCTTGAGAACATCATGAGAACATCTCCAGCTAGGCAGGTCCAAGCACTCTTTCTTCCAGGGTACCGAGGGCTGCAAGTGACTGGCTTTCATCTAGCAGTGTCAAAGTATCGCCTGACGGCGGAAGAAAGCGGCTGAACTTCAGATAAACTCGGGCAAACCAGCGGGAAAACCCATTGCCCAATTCGTTGCTTTGCGCAAAGGGCATCGAACAATCCGCCGTTCCATGGGGCATGTGGCAGGTGCGAAATGACCGCATTGGGCCAACACGAAAGTGCCATGGCCTTCAGTATTTCCAACAGGTGTCCCCGCGTGACCCCTGGCCCAAAACGGCAAGCTGATGGCAGCGCCCTGCAGTACTTTTCATCTGACTGAGGTAAAACAGTCTTGTACTTCTCATT